CCCGGGCCCCGACCTGCCTTCGCGCCGGGTCCGCCCAGCTCCCGCCCCGACTGGCCTCCCCGTGCCGCCCGCGGCTTGTCAGCTTCCACGCTGCTCCCTGGTGCTCGCTGATTACTTGTCCTTTGATAGTACCCCTTTTTTATTTTTTAAATGTCTTTATTGATTTTAGAGAGAGGGAGAGTTGAAACATCAATGACGTGCCCTGACCCCGCTCTAACCGCGATCTCCTGGATCCTAGGTCGACGCTCAACCGCTGAGCCACACTGGCAGGCAGTCGCACCCATTTTTCATTGGAGAAACTTGAAATCCAGATACATTCCCACAGTGTGTGCTTAAGTGAACTGCGTCACTTGTCTCCATCCGGGCACCCGGCAATGCTAACACACTAGGAAGTCCCTAGGCCGGAACTCCCGACTGTCAAATTATAGTGAAATCTCTCCATTTTCCTGAACTGCTCCTTTCCCTGTGCAACCTCTCCTGTGGCTATTAAGCATCACTGTGCCTACTGAGTCCCTGCCCAAGGCTGTGTGTACTGCAGGAGTGTGAAGAATATTTATGTGCTTGCACTGTGTACATATTTACAGATAAGCACATGTTCAATATCAACAAAGGCTGTAGTTGAGATCATTTGCACATATAACCTTTTTTTTTCTTTCCTCCAATATATTCACCACTTGGCTTAGTTTCCAGGTGCTTTTTGGTAGAAGGCAGGAAAATCTGAGTAATTGTGATGTATTTGTGGGGTGAGAAATGAAGCTAAATTCATGTTCTGTTCAACTGTCAGAGCTAAGTCAATGTATATATTTAAGGAAAATTACATAAGTAGTCCAGAAAGTCCCAACTCTTCTCCAGGTGGTTTAGGGGTCTCATCAAAAGGAAGTCCCTGCGACACTTCACATCCTTTCACTAATAAACAGGAATCACCCTAGAAATGGCAACTCAGCCAGTGAAGAGGGAAAGCTAAAGCCCTGGTAACGCTTTACCAAGTGTTTTGCAAACAGTAAGCTGAGAGAACAGCTGAGGCAACATCTAATATTTTATCTATCATCATACCACAGGGTTTGATACAAAAACTCAGAATCTGAGCCAGAACACAATTATTATGCCAAAAGCATTTCACTCCCCCTTTTAAAGGGAACTCCTAAATGGGGGACATGCAATCCACCAGGAGAGCCCCCTTCTGCTCCATGGAATCTTTAGTTCAGGGAACTAGGGATCTGTGCTTCTCTTCTGCCTCAGAGGCAACGTTTGAATGTAGAGATGTGCAAGGTGCTTACTGTCCTTGGGTTTTGTTTATTTTTTAACATTTAAATGCCCAAATTCTGATTTTCATGGACCCAGGCTCACTTTCTGTGTGAACAGCTTCAGTTCTACCTTCTGTGTGGGGTAAGGTTAGCTATCAGCAGTATTCAGCAGATGCTCCCTAAACAGTCCTTAAATAGCAGGGGGCAGGGAGGATGGTAAGGAAAGACCACCAATTTAGCAATATGGTAGCAACTGCCCCCACAAGATTTTCCTGTCTAAAGAGTGTCATCTTAACGCCTACCTCATGGCAATATCTAGCTCACTGGCTAATTTGTGGTGGGGGTGGGGTGGCAGAAAGCAGCAAGGTTATCTTGTCAGCAAAAACAAAACAAAATAAAACATCCCAGCCATGTTCCTCTTCTCAGACATACCAGCTACAGCAAGTCCTCTGACAACAGGTTTCTGCAGTAACGACACACAGGATGACAGGGCCAAGCAGGAACATCACAATGTGCTCGTAGTTCAGGAGGCTGGTTTCAAGCATGGGATGTATTTTTTAATGACCTTCAGTATAATAAATGCCTTTCTAACAATTCAATGAAAATACCACTATCTTTCCTGTAATAACTTTTCTAATTTGTTTTATATTTTACTTAGAAACACATATTTAACAGACTCTTTCTTCTTATACACCTTTAGGTTATAAGAAAAAAGGGATAAGGTATACCACTATCAAATTCTTACTCACCTTTGACTTTTTATCTGCGTGCACTCTGCCTACTCCCCTTTGCCACCATCTACCACAGAAAAACGAGACTGACCTTCTAACTGTGGGAGAGCCGAGGGTCCTGGGTGGGAGTCCTGCCTCCGTCACTGATTTCACTTCCTCAACCACAGAATGCGAGAGCAGTATCACCTACCTTGACAGACTGTGGACATTAGAGATACTATGTAAAGTTCCTAGTACAGGAACAAGGACACAAAGTCATTACCATCACTACTCTCAGTCTCATGCAAAAAAAATGCCTAAAATCCAAAATTGGCAAAAGAATATTTATGTGATAAATATCCAAAAATTACTTTTAAAGAAAGATACACAGCCAATCTTGCAAGATTCTGAAAACCCTGTCACCTGCTTTATTTCTGGAGAAGGGTAAAGGGAGAATATTCACTTGAATTTGAGGGGCAGCTACACTGGAAGCAACAGTAGCAGCAGTTCTATGTCCTACGGTTCCTCTGATCCACAGGGGAGGCTTCAACTTCCTTGTTTGATTCAAGAGTCTAATTCCTTCCTGGAGCAAGACTGTCCACTTTCATTGGGATGAAAGAATAAAGGACAAACTCAATAGCACCAGATGGGGCTTAACCAGAAAACAGGGCCCAGTTTCTCCTTTCAAATGAAATTTTACATTAAAATATGTTTAGAAGTCGTAATTGTTTCTGCTCTTGATTCAGCCCTTCTCCTTCCCCCAACAGGAGCCCTGGGAACCTGAAGAGCATGTGCATCATTAACCAGATAAACAATCCAGCCATCCTTCCACAGGGGACTCTGATGACCGATGGGCTGGCCTAGCTCAGCCTGCCCACAGGGACAGGACGCCATGACTATGCTCTCAGGGAGAACGGGTACTGAGGATGCCACCAGTCAAAGAGTCGAACGCTGTGCACTGGATCCAGGATGACTTGCACACCCTGCTCGCTGCGCAGTTTCCGACCACCATGGACAGGAGAGTCTTGGAACACCAGTCTCACTCGATGATGCCGCATGTCTGTGCTCACATTGATCGTAAACTGGGAGGAGAGAGCAAATTACATTCCATTCCATATCGAAATTAAACAACCTGTTCTCCTACAGCACACTCTGAAATGAGACAGTCTAGACAAAATTTACACTGGCGAGGCCACAAGATAATCTCTAAGTAATACCAACACCTCTGCAAAAATATAAAAATTAAGAATGATTTTTTTTCTCTTTAGCTTCATATATTTATTTATTTATTTATTTTTTAACATATCTTTATTGATTTCAGAGAGAGGAAAGGAGAGGGAGAGAGAGAGATAGAAACATCAATGTGAGAGAGTCATTGATCAAGCCCACAAGCCAGGCATGTGCCCTGACCGGGAATCGAACCCCGATCACCTGGATCCTAGGTCAAAGCTCAACCACTGAGCCACGCTCGGCCAGGCAGCTGCATATATTTAAACTCTCTCAAAAGGCTGGATAAATCAGGATACACGCACACAGACTACCACCAAAACCAACTTTTAAATTTTTGGTTAGAGCAGGGATTTTGATCAAATACTGTTGAGCAAGTCAAAGCAAGAATCATGAAACACACATGATCCCATTTTTTGTATGTGTAAAATACACCACAAAATTTCTAAATATTCCTACATGTGCAGATCCGTACAGAACTGTTGAGCATGGAGTACATGGAGTATGAGTGGTAGACAACTGGGTCATTAACGTGGCCTCACCTAGGATAGGGGAGGTGCTTACAATAAAGCAGCGTGTATGACGCCATCTCCATCACACAAAATCACTTGAGAGGCAGTGTACACATGTACATGTTAACAGACACACTAAAGAGCAGTTCCCAAAAGGTAAACTGCAGTTGTAGGTTATTGGAAGTCTAAGTCACCTTTTCTCAGTGTATTTATGCACTACTTAAATTCTTTACATAAAGCGTGTATTATTTATTTTACCATTTAAAAAAAAAGCTATTTTCTTATATGTGTGTGTGCGTGTTTGTGTGTGTGTGTGTGTGTGTGTATATATATATATATATATATATATATACTTTTTAATCTTTTTTCTTTAATCCTCACCTGAGGATATGTTTATTAATTTCAGAAAGAGGGAGAGGTGGGGGAGAGAAACATTGATCAGCTGCCTCCTGTACGTGCCCTGACGGGAAATCGAACCCACAACCTTTTTGGTGAACGGGACAACGCTCCCACCGAGCCACCCGGCCAGGGCATAAAGCTATTTTCAGTGTGGAGGGGAGAACCCCATGTTCTCTGAACATAAGCCTAAAATACAGAGAAGATAAGTTACATAAACTGTCTAGTTTCAAATCCAGTTAAAAAAAAATTAAAGAATCTAAAAGACATGCCAGAGGCATATTTGTTGTTTACTAATCTAATTCTTAGCTAAGCATCCCCCCAGGAAAGACGGTCACCACACTTTAATGCTGCATGTATGACGCCACATGCATCCTGAGGTCTCGGTATACAGCCTCGTCCTTGTCCCTCGTGGGGACACGTCTCTACACTCATGATCACTACAAAAAACAGAGGTGCAATATTCCCAAAATAAATAACTTCTCCACAAATCCACCTGTTCCTAATATGCAAGTCTGCTTTCAGACTTTTTAAAATCTTCATCAAAGACTTCTTCAATGGTTAAATTTACAAATTTCTTTCAAAACCAAGGTACTAGTTAGTCTATGAAAGAGGTGAAGAGACATCCTGTCTCCACTTACCAGGGTGAATATCATCCCCATGACGATTGGAATAAAGATGAAATTGAGGGTGGTGACCTGTAGGAGGCAGCAGTCCTGGTCGGGGTTGGTGTGAACATCTTCATACTGAACAGGAGGCTGCAACCCTCCCACACACTTGCTCTTTAATCTAGGAGACTGAGGAGAACAGAGAATCAATCTCATGGCTCAGAGGACAAGTTTATGGATCTAAGACTCCACCAATGAAAAGTTTATGGCTCAACTGATGCCATGAGACCCATTTTTCTGTTATCTCCTCTCTCTTTATGAACATATTTCCATAGAGATCAAGGAAAACCTGCCCTTGGGATGAGCAACACGGCAGCTGGTGTAATACTTTATTTAGACAGTATTTCCTGCCACCTGGCAAAAAATGGAAGTGTATAGCTCTATCAGAGGCACTCCAAATGTTTGGAAGACTGCAAATCTCTTGTGACTTGTCAACTCCAGAGAACATGTGCTGCACAAAGGGGAGACACAAGTGGCCATCTAATCCCGGGCATCTTGCAGAGCCCTGTGCTCCAGGGCCCAGGACCCACTCCAGGGTCACTCTCTGCACTAAGCTGTTACACCCTGTGTGTCTTTCACCCAGGCGAGTTCCTTCTTCATTGTCTCTTCATGGCATTATTGCAAGTTTTGATGTGCATTTGGTTTTAATAAGTCATCTTTATGCCTAGTTAAATTTATTAGAACAAGATATTATCTGAAAAACAAAGAAGAGATACAACTACATACCTGTTTCTTGAATTTGAAGTTGAATTCCCACATTGGTTCCTGTCTGTTCCCAACAATCTTTCTGCACCAGAAAAGTAAGCACTGTAAGAAAAAAAAAAAATAAACCAAAAATAAAAGACAGAAAAGGAAAAAATCCAAACAAGGTGGCCAAAAGTAACCAGCAGGAGCCTCTCTGTGTGCCAGCTCTAGAGCCCGCCAGTCCCAATGCTGAGTTCACTCTGGCACAGATAGAGACCCGCCCCCCAATTTGACACTGGTGCAACACGAAAAGACAGTCCCAGGGATATTCGGTAAAGAGGAGAGGGACCAACGTACGTCAACCTCAGAGGCTGTGAAGTCAACCCTACATGGTCTCTAGGGAGTGGGGCATTCTTAGATTCAGCAGGCCACTCCTCTATATTAAAACGTGAGTAGCCACCGGGCAAGATGGTAACAAAGGCAGGCAGAGAAGGCCAACCCTATAACAAATAGGAGCGAGCCGCTCAGGACCCTATAGGAGCAGAGAGCAGGTGTGAACACTGCAGGACTGGGCTGAATTCAGTGCGCCCTTCATGAAAGGCAGGCTACAGTTAAGGTTAAGCACAAGAAGTCAAGTACCTCCCAGGGGACAAGGGGTGGGTCGTCCGCCGTGCCAGCTGTCCTGCCCTTCAGACATGCCCTGTACGTCCTGATGTTCCATCAAAAATAATGGGCTTGGCTTTAAGGGGCAAACACTTCTGCTGCCATCACAACGGCTCCAGTGTCCCACACAAGCTATGCTACTGAAAAGAGAGAGAGGGAGAATCGTATACGAAAAGCTGGAGTCCGGGAACGTGGGACCGCTCCTTCAGGCATGCTGGCAACTCCCTGAATGCCATGCGACTGTAGTTGTACAAGTGGCAAGGCCATGCATGGGACAGCTACCACTGCAGGTCCCACATCCTCTTCAGAAGATCTCTAACAAGGCACAAAAGAAGCAGCCAGGTGGCCTGGGCTTATTATCTGGATTAAACATTAGCTATCATTCCACATTGGCTTTTAGAGTCCACTTTAAAAATTACTACACGGTGATAAGAGTGTGAAGACACGGGTCCTTTAGGACTGGGCACTGGAGCCGCTACGATGTGTCAGCACGAGTTTGCCCAACGCTGCTCTGCTTCCAGCAACCAACCTATACCTGGCTGGTCGGCTCTGGGATGATGCCCTCCTCATCACAGTCAGTCTGACACTATCACTGTTTCTGGGCGCAGAAACTGTAAACGTCACACGATACACTGTCCACTCACATTACAAGCAGAAACAGCTGCTGGGTGAAACTCTACCCCACCCTGTATCCATCAGCTGGCGTGATATTAAACTGAGCTCAGCCCATGGCCCTGACCACCTCCATTTGCAACCCTAGGAGGAACCTTGATAAATAATCTTGAAATCAGCAGTACCCTTTAGTCAATATGTAACAGGTAGAATATTATCACACTTGGGCTATATCACCTGGGGAGAAGAATCGCTGTGCCATCCAAAGCATAAAAACAAAACGCAAAAGAACAGGAAGTGCTACAGGACACCAGATTTTGTGTAGGCTGAGAGTAATAAAAATTACCCACAGACTCAAAAGATACAAAATTTAGATACTATTAGTTCGAGGGAAACAGGCTGAGACTTCAACTTGCCCGAATCATCATACGGCTACACTAGCCTAGCTGGACAGTCAGTAGGTGTTTCGGAGAAGACCGACCAAAGGCTGACAGGCCTACGTACAAACCAGAAGCCAACAACTTGAACATGACGTGTGAGTATAAACTGCTGGGGAAATCACAAGATTAAGAAGAAGCCTGGCCCTAGCTGGTATGCTCAGTGGTTAGAGCGTCGGCTGGCTGAAGCAGCAGCCTGGACACAGAAGGATTCAGAGCGCTGGAGTCTCTGAGTGGGAGCGCCGAGGGGCCTGGCAGCAGTGCATACTCAGCAGACGCTAAGGGAGCATGGTCTATACACCAGGACCTTAAGGGATCGACAAGAAAGGGGAATCCCAGACATCAATGTCACCCCAGAAGCTGTTCGGGGTGCATCTTTGCATCATGATTTAAAGCACCTCTTATGAATTACAGCTGAGACCTACCATTGGCGTTGTGTTCTTCCTAGCTCAAACCATCAAAACCACCTAATGTGGACCAATGTACAATGCATGAAAACAAATAAGAGAATGAGGAAGATGCTAACAGCATAAGGAAGCCAGGCCAGCTCAGCAGGGACATCTTGGAGAAGGGAAAGCCCTGAGCCTTGGAAGTTTACATTAGTCCCCTAGCAGCCTCATACCGGCAGCCCTAACCCTCCCCATCACGGAAGCCAGAGACAAATCCACCATAGAAGAGCCCAACACTAATTCCCACTTACTTTGGAATTCCTTAATGTGCTGGGCGTGCTTTCTGGAATGGCTGGGTTTTTGGAGATTCGAGCAGCAAAGGGCTCATACATATGGTACAGAGATCGGATCACACACGCCCGGAGGCAGCGCAGCTTCTCCATGGACTCTGGTCGCAGGCGCAAAGGCAGAGAGGCATCCAGCGTGTAGTGCCTGAAACACGACACATTACTCCTACCAACATGTGGCCTGTCTCTCCTACTCCAGGTCAGTCTCTTAGGACTCCCGGTCTCTGTGTGACTTCACCGACCAGTAGTCAGCTTACCCCCAGTGCTCTCTGACACACGCATTACCAGCTCTTCTTCTCAGCTACCTCTGCTTCTTTGCTGTGTGACACCCAGTTCACAGACCCTCATAACCCTGCACTTCTCCACCCTTTTCAAAGTTCCTAATCTTCAGTACATCACCTCAAAAACGGGAAAGTCTTTGCCTCGATACAAGTACAATATACTTCAGACCCCATCCTGGGGAAGAGCCACAAGGTCCTCCTGTCACATGTCGCAGCAGGTCCTCTACTCCCTTCCCAGCACATTCTCACTGACAGTTCATAACTTTCACTACACTTGTGCACCCAGTACCAAGAGCCAGCCCTCCCCAGTCACATGGCTCGCCCTCTCCTCACCACTACCACTGTACACAGGGCAGCATAAGTACAAGAACTATATGTACTTCAAGATTACTAGCAAATCTAAGAAACTAATCCATTTGGAAAGGCAAACGGATGGGCATCTGAAGCTTTTGAAAATCTACCTAAGACAACTGCCTGAGGAAAAGTCAGACAATTCTGAAACCTGAAGCAAGACTTTTTGCTGGAAATGGATACTGGATCGGGGAGGGGACAACCACAGGGAAGACAGTTACCTGGATGAATTAATAATATCAATTTTAAATGAGAGGGGTTCAAGGAGTCCAAAGCCAGGCTCACGCGAGGCATGGAGTAGAGAAAGTACAAAGGTCACCATCCCAGGAGCAGGTCCACATCACAACCAGCATGAAATCAGCTACATAGACAACAGGGAGCTCCCTGTGGCCGCACCTTCGGTACAACCTGGTCCAAAAGGCAGCAGTGCAAGTGACAGTCCAGGCATTCTTACAAATCAGGGAAAAATTCACAATGTCCTCAGGACGGATGTAGGAAGCCAGCAACAGCCAGATATCCATGGGGTACTCTTCTCCTCCAGCCCCATCCAGGTCTTCTGAAACAGAAAAAAAAACCTGTAATCTCTTACCTTCTTTTTTTTTAAATTAAATTTATTGGGGTGACCTTAGTTAATAGGGTCCTATAGGTTTAAGCGTACATTTCTAGGATACACGATCTGTATGTTGCATTGTGTGCCCACCACCCATAGTCAGATCATCTACCTTAATCTCTGAACTACTATTACACACACAGCTAAAGATCCCCAATCAGTTAGGCTCTCCCAGGGCTTGCACAGCTAAGAAAAAGGTTTTAAATAGGTCCAAGGAAGCCTCTCAAATTCATCATTTCCTGATTATTCCAGCTGCAGGAAACTTTTGCTTTCTATTGCCCAGTGAATAGGTCTTGTTTTTAAGGCCTTTATTTAACAATTACTTACATACTATTTTGAAGTTTTCAACATAACTTTGAACACATTAAGTCATTCAATTCTCATAATTCAACGGAAATAAGGAAAAATGTTCTTGTGCCCATTCTACTAACAGGAAAGCAGAACCTCACCACCTAGGGAAGGTACACAGAACCCAGGTTTTCTAACTCCAAATTCCAGCTTTGCCCTTGATTTTCCTCACAGTCCCCAACCATCAAACATTTTCTTCAGTTCGATCATTTAAAAAACAAAACTGACTCTAAGATGGTATGAGGAAAACCTCAGTGTGAAAACTGAATAAAAAAACTGGTAAGTGGCAGCGGTCTTCCCATTACTCAGTAACTGCCTGTGCACATTTCTTTTCTTCTCATTTTTCCTTGTTTCCCTGCCAGTCTGACCTATGATCCTGCCCACAGGCATTCAGTATTCAGAGACTCTGACAATGCATCCCACCTCCTCCTCCGTCAGACCTCATCAGTGTTAATTCTCTTGACTCTGAGGCGCAGTATACATCTCAGGTTCAAGTGAAAACTCACACTCCATACAGACGCCTGAATCTGGGCTAATCCTAACATTAACCTTTAACTCAAACCTCGTCAAAGAACTATCCAAAAGCTAGCTTTCTTCCTTCTCTTTCCTGGCAAAAAGCCCCTACACCACCTCCCCAAGATGCCTCTGCTTTTCTAGGTAACTGCTTCCTGCAGTGCTGTTACTCAATCAGGTTCTTGCATTCGGTTCTTCCTATCAGAGATCAATGTCTCTGAAGCAACATCCTCTTTTCTGGTTCCTACCCTTTCCTGTAATCACTTAAGGCTCAGTCTACCATGTTTGGGCCCCACCTTGTCCTACATTAAATCTCTCTCAGAAAGAGAAGGCAAACGACTACCAGCATTTCCTCCACTGAGACCCATCGGAACTTTTACGAAGCAGAATGCTATTAAAAATTTTGTGTTTAGGGTCAAAATTAAGTAATTACTAAAGAACTGTGTTCTAAACACAATTATTAAGACATTTCAAAATGTAGGAAATGGAATCAGTAAAGAAAAGCTTCATGGTATGTTAAACCATCCCACTCCTGAGATCCAAACTTGGATTCTCTACTGCTGTCACCTCTGGTGCTGCGGAAAAAGTGACAGCTTCAAGCTGTCACCACACACAGGATTAATGAACCAAGAGAGAGCAAGCCCTATACCTCTGTGCCTCTTGCTCTTCTTTTTTCTGGAGACAGGTCTCTCATGGATGCTCTCCTCCTTCGCATCCATCTCATCACTGCTGTCGATGATGTCACAGGACTCACCAGCCCCAGAAAGCGCTTCCACTGCAGGAACCTGAGAGGCTTCCAAGCCACAAAGAGATTTTACTAGAAGGAAATAAGGGAAGGGTGAGAAGGCACAGTCCCATCCAGAATTACAAACAGCTTAGGCAGGATATCAGCATCCATGGGGGGGGGG